CGTGGCGAGCAGAAATTTCTTGTTCGAACCAACTTGGTTGCAGAAAAGCTGCAGCATCTTCCTTCCCCTCATCCATTTCAGCAACAGCTTCATGTGTGTTTTGCTGTTCAATCCACCCACGCCAGATTCCTGATATGAAAAGCAGTATTAGATAGAAGGGCCATAAAATTCAATTCACTGCTTTTCACGAGGGCTGATGAACGGTGCACAATTTCTATATGTAATATATATTCCTACGGCCTTCCCATGTCACAGACATGATGGATTAAGTCATCATTGGTTTCTATAAGATATATTCCAATGATCCAATTTCAAAAGTAAGAATTCTATTGGAACTTTTATACACAACAACTATGTTCTTTGTTCAACGTTGGAGCATGGTTAAGTTATTTTTTTAATTATCCGTTTTGTACTTTTTTCACTCACATGTGAAATTTGTATCTCTCGTTGGCACACTAACCGCTGTCGGACTCTAATGCTGGGCCTCTAAAAGGGGTGGATTGTGAGATCCCACATCGGTTGGAGAGGGGAACGAAACATTCCTTATAAGAGTGTGGAAACCTCTCCCTAGTACGTTTTAAAACCGTGAGGCTGACGGCGATACGTAATGGGCCAAAGCGGACAATATCTACTAGCAATGGGTTTGGACTATTACAAAAGGTATCAGAGCCAGACACCAAACGATTGCCAACGAGGACGCTAGGCCTCGAAGGGGGGTGGATTGTGAGATCCCACATCTGTTGGGGAGGGGAACAAAGCATTCTTTATAAGGGTGTGGAAACCTCTCCCTAACAGACGCGTTTTAGAACCGTGAGGCTGACGGCGATACATAATGGGACAAAGCGGACAATATCTACTACCGGTGGCCTTGAGTTGTTACAATATATCCAATTTTACTCGCAGCACTTACAGTTACAATTGGGACACGACTTTCAGAGTAATTAAGAAAGCCATGACCTTGTTTCTTGATTGTTCAGTTAAAGGAGATACTGTTTCATGTCATGCCTGACAAAAGAAGGGAAGTGTCATACACTGCCTCACCTCCGTTTCACTCGTCCACTTATCCTCTTGAAATAGAGTGTACTGATATTTGGCGGCCAGCGCTTATCTCATATCTCCTTCTGAGGAAGCTATTAAGTCTTTCATTCATTTCCTTGATGACTTAGCTACATTTACCTAGATCTTTCCCCACACATTCAAGTCTGAAGATTTCACTTACTGCAATACTACCTTATCTCCCTCTCACTGATACACCACTTATCCTCTTGAAATAGTGCATATTGATATCTGAGGACCTACGCCCATCCCTTTCAAAGAAGGCTATAATTTTTTAATTCGTTTGCTTTATGACTTTGGTAATTTACCTGGGCCTGTCCTGTCAGAGTCAAGTCTAAAGCTTTCGCCATATTCAAGAAGTTGAAAGCTCCAGTAAAGATCCTTTAGGTACGTTATTGAAATGTCTTCAATTTGATTGAAGGGAATATTTCCACTCTTTCAAAGGTTTCGATAGGCCACTACTATGCATACATAGCACAGAAAGAAATTGAACGAAAACTAGCAAGTTGGATGCATGATGTACTTGATGGTGTTCTTTAACTAATTAACTTGGCAGAAAAGAGTCCATATATGATGTCCTTTTGGGATACCTGATGCAAGAAGGAAAATACCCGTGTAGGTGTTAACCAAAAGTAGTGCTAGATTAGTGTGGTTATAGGAAATGCTAACTAATGAAAGAAAATGAATACAAGACTAGATCTAGATGTCGTGGAAGGGAATATCATAAGAGTATAGAGTACCATTGAGATGAAACTTGTTCATATCGAGGAGGAGTTTAACATGGTGACAAAGATGATTACGAAACTAAAGGGTATTTGGAAATAGAAAGTATCTATCCTAGAAGAGAAGACCAAGGAGGCTTATGGAAAAGTGCCAATGGAAGTAATACATTACAGAGAGTAAAGGAAGGTGGTGTGAGCAGAGGGGTGTCAATAGGAGAACAAGCACACTTGGTACAGTACCAGTGACACATGCTGAAGGTACCTATTTTTTATGGAGCCAATCCAAGATGGTTGGTCCCGCTGGGCTACTCATTCTAACCCACTTCACTCGCCACTGCTCCTCCTGAGCATCTCTAGGAAACAGCAACAAACGGGTGTTCAGTATAAAATTACATGCGGTAGTAAGTGTTCGAGGGTACAAAGCTTGTTTGTTCCAAAAGAGTTTCGTCAAAAATACTCAAAAACTTCTCATTTTCCTTACTAATAATTAGTATTGCTTTGAAAAATGGTCGCTAATTTGGGTAGCTAGATATTAGTAATTCGTTTCTTAATGGCGTTTTGAATGAAGTAATCTATATGCTCCAGCCGAATGACTTGGTAAGCATTCTTCAATGAGTGAATGAACATCCATCTAAAAGACAGGTCACTTCAACTCAAAAGCATATCCCCATTCAGATTGAGACTCAATATCAGACTTTAACTAATGTGGCTACAGAGCTAACCTAGATCAAGCAACTTTGAGCGGTCCATAAGCTGCAGTTTCGATAACCATCGTCCAACTTCGAAATGAAAGAAAATAAGCGATGAAATGTAACAGAAGGTGAAGAAAACCTACCTGGGCTTTAATCCAAGCATTGGAAACTGTGAGCGGTCCATGCTGCTTGACGACACCATAGAGATCTTGAGCAACCAAAGAAGCCTCCTGAGGGGTCAACTTGGGATTGATTTTCCTAAGATTCTCTGCTCGCGACCTCGAGAAATACCTCGCGAATGTGCTGAAAACAAGGCCAGCAGAACCTCCACCTCCATCTGCATTTCTAATTGTTTGAATACCGCGAAGCCACCACATATCTGATGCTAGCCTACCGCGCTACTACGTAGTACAAAATTCTCCCACTGTTCGTCTATGGCTACAACTGCGCGCTGTTGCACTGCTATCCCGCTGCCGCCAAGGCACTGAGATTCGAAGAGAGTCGACGACGAACGAACAGAATTAGACACGCAGGGTTTTTCTTTACTCCTGAATTATGATGGAGATCGGTTCATGCCGCTCCAACCGAACCGACCCGGTTGGTTTGGACTGAGTGATTGTGATGAGAAACGTATGGTCTCTTGGGCTTAATTCCTTCAGATAAAGCTGTTGGGCTGAGCCCATTGTCTCTTAGGATGAATCTGTGTAATTTTTTTTTTTTAATTTAACTAGTAGTTTTACACCTAATTTTAACTAAAAAAAATAGATATGACTAAAAAATAAAAATATATACATTAAAAACTCAATGGAGAATCCTCCTCCGGATATCTATAAAATTAAATACGATAATTGATAAGATAAGGAACCACTACAAGTAGAGTAAGATTCGGATTACCTTGTTGATCGAATATCTCAAGGCAAGAACATTGTTTGAGATTCGAATCAATCCACAAACAAGATCGATCATGTCTAGCTTGAATGATTCTTGTTGATCAAATATCTCAAAGAAGAAACACTTGCTTAAGATTCGAATCACTTCACAAACAAAATTGATTATGTCGAACTTGAATGATTCTACATGCAACCTAAACTACATAGAATTGCAAATAAACTTAGTCATTGACCAAAGAAGAGCAAAAATGTTTATTTTACTATATTTTACAAGCCTTACCAATACAATATACATAGTTTTATATAGCCTCAAAATGAAACATTCATACTTAAGGGTCATAATTAACCATTATGTAATTGTAAAATAAAAAGTTCTAAAAACTCTAAATTACTCTAAATTGTAACCCACCCAAAATTTATAACAATCAAACTTCATTCTTTTTCAACGTGCCATGAATTGAAACATCTTTTGATAATTTTAACAATCTTTTTTTCGCATCTTCATTGAAGTATATTGTATAATTGATGTTTTTTTGTTCATATCAATAATTTCGTAAGAATTGAGAAATGAAATGAGTGAGAGAATGGAGATAGGAACGACTTTTCTATCACTGTCTCGTGGCCATCTCTAAATCTAACTCACCAACCAAACAAACGTAGCACACGACTTGAATCTAGAGTTCTATTTCAAAACGTTTCTTAATTCAACCCATTTAAAGTAGTTGATAATTCAAATTTTTTTTGTATGATAAAATAAATTCTAAACTCCAAAAAGTGAAAATAAAACAAATTATTACGTGGCACTGATTTTGTAAGCCAATTAAAATGCAGGAAATGATGGAAAGAGAAAAGGGTGACGAAAATTATGGCGGCCGGGAAGCTGCATGCAGATGCCGATGCCGACGGGTTAATGATGGTGGGGCTGATGGTGTGGGGACGTTAGAAGAGTCTGCGTCTTTCTACAATCTTTGACACTTAATTCAATACCTATCAGTTTCTCTCCTTTCTTAATCTCATTTCGACTTCTCTTTCCATTTTTCTTCAATCGTAATAAATTATATCTTAAGAGAGTTTTTCAGACTCTTATAAATAATAATTTGTTCTTTTTTTCATCGATCTGAAATCTCATAGTTCTATATTAGATAAACAGTTGCTACTTGTGAAACAAATACTTTCGTATGTTCATACTATATAATTATAAGATGAATTGTTACATATATGCATCAAATTTGTCACTGATTTTACTAATAGACTTATTTAGACCTTTGAAAATTATGCTTTATAACTATATAAAACCGACTAAATATAAATTTATGGGAATATACAAATTTGTATCTAGGAATCACTAGTTTCCACAATGGTATGATATTGTCCACTTCGAGTATAACCTTTCATGAATTTGTTTTGGGCTCCAAGAGACCTCATAACAATGAAGATAGATTTTTTTATTTATAAACGGATGATGTTTCACGAAATCAATCCACTCAAATAATAAAAAAATAGAACAATGTAAAGTTTGGGTTAAGTTAAATAAGAAAAATGCCTCAAAATTAATATGCCACGTAAGAAAAAAGAGAGCAGATAAATGAGGAAATCTTAGCCACACATTTTTTATATAGTCTCTTTCATCTTCTGCAACTCACTAAATAAACTTCCTTTCAGAACTGAAGAGAGAGAGAGAGAAAATGCGGCCAATTCCTTTAGACGCCGACGACACTGTAGCCCTCCAGCCACCGCAATCGCCGCCGTGCCACGATCACCATCCCTGTACATGGCGGCCGTACTCCAGTTCCAAAGACTTCGAAGCCAACGCCGCCGTCGTCGTCATCCTCCTTCTCTGTGGACTCATTTGTGCTCTGGCTCTCAACACCGCCATCCGCTGCTTCCTCCGTCGTAGCGCCGATCATGATCCGTCTGATAGCCAACAGGAGGAGGAACTTCAGGATGAAACGGCGAAGCCGACGCTGGTGAATAAATTGAAAATGGCTCCGGCGTTGGTATTCACGGCGGAGATGAAGTCAAATCTCGCCGGTGCGGAGGCGGAGTGTACGATTTGTTTGACGGAATTCTCGGAAGGGGAAGAAATTCGAGTATTGACGATTTGCAAGCACGGATTTCATGTTCAGTGTATTCAAAAGTGGTTGATTTTGCATTCTTCTTGTCCGACTTGCCGCCGTAGCTACCTCCTTCCCTCGCCGTCGTCCTCCGAGCACGGCGGCCGCCATGGTGACCCTTGAGCTTAGATTAGTACTCTGTCGTAGCTGTTTGATAGTAGTTCGAATTGAGCTTTGCCTCTTTTTTTTTTTTTTTTTTTTTTTTTTTTTTTTTTTTTTTTTTTTTTTTTTTTTTTTTTTTTTTTT